TTTAATGAAATGTGTTTAACAGGCTGCTCTTCCTACACACATGCTGCACAGATCCTACAGCTGACCACAGGATGAAGTCCCATGGGATGACCAAACCACCCTTTCTTAGACACCCATGTGTTGTACCCACCTCCTCCCCCCCCTCCCGATGGATGACCCTGCAACCAGCAGGGGTCAGCTGCGCAGAAGGAGCCCCCCCCGCACCCCTGCCCTCGGTCCGGAGCCGCGGCGTAAATCAGCGGCTGTTCATCGCGGGAACCCTGCCCTGCCCGAGGTCTCAGCCCAGCCTGGCACCATCTGTCCCGGGGCTCTGACGCAGGAGCAGCGCTGCCAAGGTGGGTTCCCACTGACCTGCTGCACCCACCAGGCCATATGGAGCAGACCTGGAGACAGATCCATCACCACTGCAGACTGGACATGGTGGAGAGGGGCTGGCTGTACATCTACTGTACATCACATCTCTATGAGCCGAGAGTGGGAACATTGAGGTTAGGTAGATAAATAAGAGGATATCCTTACAATAAAGTGAAAACCATTACACCAACTCCATGAAAGTGTAAATGTAATGTCAAAATAAATGTGGTTTATTGCTTATTAACATTTATTTTATAGTTGTTTTAAATCAAATTACAATTGTCCATTGATTAATGTGCAGAACTGCTAGCACAAAAGCTACATCTGGCCAGTTTTTGCAGGTAATGGAGTATTTCTACATTGTTGTATCCGTACTTTTACCTATAGAAGATCTGAGTACTTTGTCCACCACTGGTTAGGCCCAGAATTAATAACAATGTTAGACCAACCCCATTTGTAAACGTGCCATTACATTATGGAAAATAAACTATAGATTAAAAATGAACATCTCATATCAGTTTTGTGTATGTACAATTAAACATGTCATAACACAAATTGCCAATTATAACTAAAACTACTGATTTTTAAAAACACCGACGCTCCTTCAATAACATCTTAATTGAGTAACGCGCATAACAACGGTACCTGCATAAGAAATCCATAACATAGTACAAAGAGTATTATAATTACATGATTAAGTACTTCAACTTTAAAGTACTGCAGTGGAAGATTGCTGATGAAGAGAAAACTATAACAGTGACCAGTGTTGCTCACAGACTGCACACACAGGTACAAAAACAAACGTAAGTGGACCTTTCTCCTGATTAGACTTTAATTGCAGAGCTGTAGGCTACGCTCAAATTGCTTCGTTTCTTTCCAAAAGTATTTGTGCAAATAATGTCGTCAGCATCAATTGAAGTGCAGCACACTAAAAAACAGGACAACTTCATGAAGCAAAAGTCAATTCGAGCACTTAACAAAATCCACCTCTGGTCCAAACAAGTCCCAATCTACGAATGTGACCTGAGCGACCCGTTATTTTGCTGTATAACTGCCACAGACTAAACACATGATGTACAACTCATACATGTAAAACAGCCCAACCTTTTAAGTGCAAGACAAGTCTCTGCACTCCACCTCATCACCCTTGACGACTTGACATCTTTTCCCTCTTCATCATAACAGCACCTGGACTTGCGACACGTAAATCTTATGTGCAGAGACAGTCTGCAAGACCCCGGGCAGAACAGCCCAGCTTATTGCTTTCTCCCACAGCCCGACCTTGCTTCTTGCCCCCTTAGGCCTGGCTCTAATGGGCGAGCAGGGGTCATAAAGTGGTTGTGTTACCGTTTTCCTCTTTCCAAACCAGTGACACCAGTTGTTCAACCTCCTCACCGAGGCCTTTTGTGAGGCTTGACAGGCTGTCAATTCCAGGCGGAGGATGATTGTAGAAGACGACACGCATTACCTTGAGGTGACACCGCATTCCACTGAAGGCCGGTCTTTATGAGCTAACAATAACTTTGAATAGCTTTTGCAGCAAAGCATTAAAAGTTTGCTTTGGCTCTGTGGTGCGAGTTTGGTGCCGTGTCATTCTTGTCAAATCTGGACTTGTTCTTCAAAGGTTTTATGGAGGGAATTCATCTGGCAGATGTATGATTATTGGGGTAACGGACCTTTGTTTTTTTTAGATTCCCACAAATGTTTTTTCTTTACGGATTTGTTTCCGTCTCGTCACTCTCACGGGTTTGAGGAATGATTTTTGGCCGTCATCAAGGTTTGAGAGAAGGACAAGAAGACCTTCACACACACACACACACACACACACACACACACACACACACACACACACACACACACACACACACACACACACACACACACACACACACACACACACACACACACACACACACACACACACACACACACACACACACACACACACACACACACACACACACACACACACACACACACAACCACACACACACACACACACACACCACACACACACACACACACACACACACACACACACACACACACACACACACACACACACACACACACACACACACACACAGGCTTGGTTTGAAATGTTATGAAACGCTGAACAATATTAAACCAATGAATATATTTGAGCATTGATTTGTAATGTTCTAGATAATAATATCAAAACCTTTGAACCAATTGATTACAGAGAAAATGGTTAATTCTTGTGTCCTCCATGCAGTGAACTAAAACCTTTGATTTGAAATATCGATTTATTTAGCTTTATAAAATATATTTGGAAGCTGAATTTCTCACACGTTAGTCCTAAGGGTAACTTATTGTATCACTCAATTGTGTTATTAGTAAGACTACATGTACAACCCTGATATAAAAATGAAAAACTGACTGAAACATTTGCAGGTGAATAATGAAGACATCTCTTTTTCATCGGCCAACTCGCCCAATCCAGTTTGTCACATAACGTGAGCACAGACTGCCCTCGTGTGTTAAGCATGCGGTACTGACATTAAACTCCAAAGCACATGCATCACATGTCAATTTCACGAGGCATTAAGAAATTAGAACCTAATCTAATAACTCACTATCCACATTTACTAAAACAGGATTTTGAAAACTTTAGCACGACCATTTTCCTAAATAAGACTGTTTTTCAAAAATCCAGTAACACCTGAATATCTTTTTGCTATCCACGGATTTAACCTCTATAAACAGATACACCTGATTGGATGTTTATGACTCATATTTTATTGTGATAGAATAACCATAGAAACAAATGTATGTATTGAAATCTGCAAGAGAATACTGACTGTCATTCCATTAATGACAGTTCTCTTTGTACCTCGAGTGCAGCATTCACCTGCCTTCTTCACAGTTCAGTCCAACAGCTTCATGAGTCCGACTCTCACTCCCGCCCGGCCTTCAGTTTCTCCTCTACCGTGTGATCTCCCCTCGAGCCTCCCAGGCAAGGTGGACTTTTGGCCAAAGAGGGATTACTCCCCCACTGCTCAGGAGTCTTTGCCTGGATAGCCAGTGCATGAACGCAGCTACTCAACTCTTCCTTCAGAGCCTCATTAACCATACGGTGACGCTTTATCAATGGCAGACCCTCAAACTGGGAGCTGACCACCAGGACGCGGAAATGTGATTCTGAGCCGGGGGGCACGGCGTGCATGTGGCTTTCATTGTGGACCTCCAAGTGGTCCGGCGTAAGTTGGTCGGTCAGCTTGGTTCTGATAGACCTCTCAACGGGCCGGCTCGGGTCTGGGTCCATGTGCGGTCTGAAGTGGGCCAGAGGCCGGCTTAAGGAAAGACTGGTAGAGACGGGCCGAACACAGCGGAGAACAGAAGGAAGCATCAGAGGCAGTGGCAAGAGACCACCTATGAAAAGCAAGATGGGTATGAATACAGAAGATGTGCGATTTAATGACCATACATATATTTATTGTATGGAAGGCATTTTGATTTAATAAAAAGCTTTGAGGTGCTGCACTGAATGCTTTGTACTTGGCATAGATACCCGAAATGTAAGAAGAATAAATAGATTCAGGAGAGACTAAGTTTGATCAGTAGATATATAATCCTAAAAACATTATAGTTGAGTAATTACAGCAGAGAAGAAAATAAATCACCCATTTAAACCTTGTGTATTTGTCTTGGTTTGTGTGGTTGTATTTGAGGTCATCCTGTTTTCCAACTAAGCCTGTGCATATCAATCATAATGGCATTGATTTAATTAATCTAAAATAAATAACAGCTACATCAAGCTACAGAAAATGTATCTACAATTACTTTGATAATTGAATTAGAGCAAACATTTTTCATCTTCTCAAATTGAGATGATTTGTTGCCTTTGTGTTTTATATTAAGAAATACATAGTGATACATGCTGGTGGTGGGGTAGCCACTCTTCTCTTGCACTTATTGAATTGCAATATATAGTACAGGTGTAGCTATTACTAAAGTGTACATTAATTATGGGGACAGATCCATGTGTACCAGAGATGTCAATGCCACGGCAAAATCTCTCAAGATAATCGCGAGTCGTGCCATTCGCGAACATGTTCTATTTAGCTGGAAGTTGAGCTAGTACATTAGCCTGTAGATCAGATCCATAGAAAAGCCTCGCGTTTGATAACTAGAAAGCCTGTGTTGTCCACACATCTCATCACACAAAACTGCAAAGATGTTTTTTTAAACTGGTGCCACGTCTTTTAATGCCTTTCAATTTCAGTTTTTGTGATAGCTAGGTAGCTTAATTCATCCTTGTTTGTTAGCATTAGCCGTTAGCTCTCATAATAAACATCACACAAACAATACGTAAGAAAAATGTGACTGTCAGCGTTTTTAAACCGAACAGCTCCATACACGATAATATACCATATGTATGTGTTTATTCATACATTTTATCTAGTCTTGAAGATAAAGTGTAGAGTGTTTTTGTGAACTACTCACCTTGCTAGTGAAGTCAGTTGCTACTCTGGTACCGTGACGCAACACTCACCGGAAGTGCCAGAACACTGGGTGGTGTAGTTTTTAAGCCTACGTAGTCCTGTTGCAGCTGAAGGCATCTTTTAACGTTTTGTAGTCTCTATTATAATCGTAAAAAAACAGACATAAAGGCTTGACAAAGATTTACTTTTTATACTTTTTGTTTATTTCATGGTTCTTTGTCATCCATTGTGATTCCAAAGGGTCAGTTGCACAGCACAGTGCAAACCCAATCAAAAATCAACAATGATAAAATATAAGAAAAATCTCACACACCTTTAAACAGAACTGATGTTGTCACATTTAGGCTAACTATGATTCATAACCGGTATTTAACATTGATGTATTTACTTATATTTCATTCTCATTTACAAAATACACAAAACCAAAGACAACATACAGTTCATTTGCACTTCTTTTTTATAACTTTTTTTTGTATATTCATGGTTTCACAAACAGTTTCTATTACAAACAATCAACTACAGATTCTACAGCACAGTACAATGACAAAGGTGATAAATTCTTTGTTACATTTAATTAATGGCATTGCAATCTTATTGCAAAAAAGCCTCAATAATTAGGGTTGTTTTAGAGAGTACACAAGGTGGTTAGCTGTTAAGTCCTGTGTCATTATTAAGCCAACACACAGCATTTTAGTGGACAAGGCCAGCATATAGTAGTGTTCTCCAATTCCCAATAGCTTCAAAGAAGAGAATAAGAGACAAATACCCAAACACTTATTGCTTTGTTAACTTTTTGCACTCACGACTGTCTGTTGCACAGGCAATTATACAAAAAACCCTGTAACATAAGCTAAGATAAATATCTACGAGAGACACTTTTAACTTGGACGGAGCCTGAACTGAGTCACTGAGAAAGGTTAGCGCTTAAACAGCATCCAATGTTGAACAAATACAGTTATCTTGACATTGTTGCTGTTAAATTGTAGGGATGATACAGGAAAACATACAGAGAATAGGACTTCTGACTTTTATAATTTACAGTTAATGTGCGTTTATATACTATCAATGTGCTTTTAGGAGGGAATTTGGGCAAATGTTCTTACTTTTTGGCCATCCTGGCTTCTGTAGCCATCATTTTTGCAGTGCAGACCACCTACCATGATAAGTCAAGTAATATATATATTTTTATATTTTACTGCAGAATATTTCCAGGGGTCAAAATGTTTGGAGAGCAATCTTATTAGTTACATTATAAGTATTTTTTATTTACATATATTTATATCTATATCAGAGAGTTGATGGTATAATGTGTAAACTCAGGCCATAGAAAATATTTGGCAATAATTAATGAGAGGTGATACTCATGGCACACTCATGGATAATGATTTCAGATGTGAAGTTAGATCAGTGTGAGAATAAGGGAGTGAAATGTAAGGGGCATGTCGTCAAAGCTCGAAGCACTTCATGTTCACAACTGCACTCATGTTCACAATCTTATCATTTGGTATGTTTTGGTCTTTGTGCTCTTGCTAAACGCTAACCTTGTTCTTCATTAAATCTCTAGCAAGGCTACATTAGATTGTTTCTTAAAGATCTTGAGGCATTTACAATTGTGCATGTACGACAATGTACATTTAGTGCAATGGGTTGTCTATTTATTTAACTGTCTTGCGTCTACGTATGGCTGCTATCCTACAAAATGGCAGTTTGGACGAAAACGTTGTTGCTGTTAATCTGATGTGTTAATGATTGTTTTTTCTTATACCATGCAATTGTGAACATATCATCCATGCTTTTTGTAAATCAAGGTAATGTGGCAATTGTCACCAACACTTTGTGCTGTTATCAATGTGGGATATATGACAATCAGCCCTTGGCAGTGAGTTCTCTACGGTGAATCTCATGTTATATTAAGCTACATCTGTATAATAAAGCACAAGTAAACACAGGGTCCCAGTGCACTCCAAATCCATACCCTCAGTACCCCACCACTAATTTGCAACTGCAGTTAATAGTCACTATTTAACATGTTGTGTGCCCCAAGGAACTCCCCAATTAGGGACATTTAAAACACAACAATTCTGCTGCATGTCACCTTTCTTTTTTTTAAATTTTGGAGCAGTATTTTACAACAATTGCAATATTTTCTTTCAGCCTGTGTTATTAAAAAACAAGTTCAGTCCAGCATGTTATCACACCATGATCAGTTATCTTTATAAGACAGCTACCCCACAACACTTTACAAATCAGAATAGTGTTTGTGATACATGAAACGGTAAAAGACACACAAAATTAAATGAAATCTCAATATTGCACAGAGGTTCAATATTGCACTAAAAAGTACACTCACATTTATATAAACATTCAGTTCACACAAACAATTAGATTATAGTTCACCTGTCGGTTCTCACACACCTGCACTGAAACCATCATAAACTAAGCCGTGATTTTTCTCCCTTGACATCACCTGTATTTTTTCCCACGTTTGTGTATTATTTAACGCAATAAATAAATATTTTGAAGGACTTCCTATTTAGTGATCTCTGGAAAGAGTTTGATAAGGTAACCTAGAAACCTTCATATTACTGCTACCAACAGCAGAATCAAATCTCAGTGGTGTCTTTAGAAATAAAAAATATTACTGTGACTTAAACCGGACTAACCAGTGAGCAAAATCAACTTGCCCCTAATGCTGTTTACAAGATGTACTCTCAATTTTCATAAATGTGCATACATACTTTGTGACATGCATAACACCCTCAAAACATAGGCCTATATTATAAGACACAAACATAATGTAAGCCTGGGAGGAGAGGTACTCAAAAGGCATTTCTTACAAAGGGATATACAGTGTGATTGAAAAGTGGTGATTGAATGTGAGATTCTGAACATTTTCATCAAGTCAAGAAAATGTTATGGACTTTCACACTGGCAAATGGTTGTGCTTTAAATGTACACTTTGACAAACAGCGTCATATGTGATGAAATCATGACAGCACACCATTTTAACCTGGTATGGAAAACATATCCATGAACTGATTTAATTTATCTCATGGTTGTTTGAAGGTGATAAGAAACAATGTCTTAAAGGGAAATAAGGGGCTTGATTTGTCACATTCTGACAACAAAAACAAACCTGGAATGTTCTATAATCTATAAAATGGCAGTAAGTCCATACACCAACACAAAAAACCTCTAGAGATAAAAAATGAGGACAGGTTTTTGTTTTTAGAGCAAGCCAAGAGCTGTGTCCTGGTTTTAACCCGCAAAGTAAAAAAATGCTTTAAATCAAGGCATTTTTGATGTCCAACAATGGCAAAGTACTCAAGACTTGACAGGTGAGTTGAATGGAGGTGACTACAGAGAACTCTGTAACAATGGCTAGTGGTCAGTCTATTTGCATGGCTCATTATCAAGAACCCCCATCCCCTGACCTCCAACCCCAGGTGTGAGTACTGTACTTGTATTTGGGGGGTGGGTATATCTAAATAAAATATAATAATCCAGGGAAAATAAATGTCATGCTCTCACTGAACAAGTTAATATGACTTTTGCCTTGGCACCAATTATGAGCAATGTTGTCTCAACATTTATTGGACCAATCTAATGATTTGTCACATCTTCACTATCAAATAATACCAAGTCCTAAATATTTACAGCAGATCTGCATCGCTCTTTTGCATTGTGTTATGTGTACAAACTTGACTCTATCATTTGGAGGGAGGGGTTAGAGAGGAGGATTTAGAGGGCTCTTGAGCTGTTCATTCACAGTGTTGTGAAAACTCATCTGCCCTCCCCTGGGAAAGTTGAAGCGCCATACTATTGCAGCACCTGACCCCGCGTCTCCGGTAGTTTGAGGGCCAGAAAACTTCCCGCCGCCAGCGCCCCCGAGGCAAAGATGATGGGCACTGCCTTGGTGATACCAACGAATGAAGTAAAGATGCTTATCCCTAAAATAGCCGCTAATTTACAGAGGGCGTTGAGGAAGCCAAACGCTGTACATCTGAGAAGAGAAAGAGGGCAGAAAAGCAGAACAGTCAGGTTACAGTCTGTTGTTTAATAATATAATAAAGTTTAATGTTTGCAGAGTGTTGAATATATCGATCATTGATTTAATCTTGCGCTATAAGGAGATGAAAACATTTTTGACATCCTCCTCTGTCGAGCTGTAACTTCAGCGAGCTAAAGTGATGCAAGCTTCCTTCTGCAAGGTATTACTGTTGGTGGGTGCAGTTTGGCAGAAGAAAAATAGTTCCTACATCAAGCTTCTCATAACAAGGTCTGTGAAATATATTAAGTAATCAGCTGATGATTTCTGTTAAGAGACATCGCATTTTGATGGCGTTTTGGGGCACCACAACTAGTTTCTATATATTAGAGAGAAGCCAAACATCTATACAACCACTATATATATATCTCTAACAGCCTGCAACCAAAACAATCTTGATTGATAAATAGCACAAAAGGTAAGAGACGTATTCTGAATTTGTACTGAATTTTCCCTTCAACAAGATAAAATACATCCAAAGGAGAAAGCAGGGAAATTATGGATACATTGGAAGATGTATCTCTACTCTGTATGCCAAACAGAGAAATTAACAGCTTGAGTCTAAATCTAACAGTGTTTAAGAGTGTTATCTGCATTTACACTACATTCATTGTAAAGGCTGTATGGACTGTATGGACTTTATACAACCACAAGGTGGAGCTACATCTTCTAAAATAAAAACTCAAAAGCTGTTCCCACCTCTTACAGATGGGCATCACAAAACGACATGTTCTTGCATTGGAAAAATGCTTCAATTATGTTCCACAACACTATTCACATGTTAACTTGCATTGCACTAAGAACACATCATACTAAAGCCATTATTAGGTGGCAACAAGGCAGCAAAGTGCTTCACATCACATGCCCAACCAATGATTTCACCCCACAATGTCATCTATCCCTTCAAGCCAACCAATCATTGCAGGGCAACTCGTCTGACATCATTAGCCACGTCATTCAGCACCACTGACCATGTCTTTGTGGTGTCAAGGAGATTTCAGGGCCTGCCTAAATTGCCTACCTCTTGTCAGAGGGGTAGAGTTCGACAGTCAGCACATCCAGCGCGTTCCAGGAAGCGATGCTGATTCCTCCGAACAAGCAGAGCAGAGCAATCATGGCTGATTCGCTGTTGCCAAAGGACAGGAAGAAACAGCTGATGCAAGAGATCACACTGGAGCCCGCTGGAGATAGACAAAAGGGAGAAAGCGAAAGGTGCAGGGACAGAGTGTATTAATAAAAACTGAGGGAATTCCTGCTTTGCCTATTAACTGAACAATTGTAAAAGCAGTTTTTTTAAGATTTAAAAAATTATGTTGGGAATTGAATTATATTTTCTTGATCGATGACTAAGAGTATCTTTTAAAAATTATTCCTCATAAATGAAACCATCTGCGAAAGGCCTTCATTCAGATCTTGTTCGAATTTATTGTAAATGCTTTCAACTGTATCTTTATTTGGTTATTTTTTGTATTTAACTATTTTTATACTTCACTGTAGCCTATTTCTCTTTTGAATGTTTTGATCTACTCCATAGCATGTTTAGCATCCTGCATTTTAACTTGTATTCATCATCCATTGTTGCTTTTATTGTTAGCTATTTTGTTTGGTTTTGCATCTAAGTATCAAATCAAATCAAATCAAGGTTTATTTATAAAGCACATTTAAAAGCGATTTTAGGTCGAGCCAAAGTGCTGTACATGTTATAAAAACACATTACTACAATCACAATAAAAGACAATAAATTACAACAGATATATAAACAACACAGGGAAAAGTCAGGAGTCGTGCTCCGCTCTGACTAGAAGGCCAGGGAGAAGAAGTGTGTCTTAAGAGTAGATTTAAAAACCCCTAGGGTCTGGGCCGACCTCACATGGAGGGGCAGAGTGTTCCAGAGCCTAGGGCCAGCGAAGGCTCGGTGCCCTCGGGTTTTGAGCCTGGGGACTAAGTATAAACCAGTGTACTGCAATTGTATATGTTTTTGGATTCTTCAAGTATTGGTCAAGAAGTCAAGCTAACACACAGTGAGTCCTTGTAGGTAATTGATACACACAAAGTGATTCCTCTAGCTCTCATTCTTCTCTTCTTGAATACACAAGGTGCTGAGTAATGTGGCCAGTCGGTCATATTACCTAGCATCCTCAGCCGTCCGATCTTGTCCATGAGCAGCGCGGAGACGATGTTGCCTGGCAACACAGCCAAGGTGCCCAGGAAACTGACGAAGTAGACCATGTAGGCATTGTTCTCGTCGCTCACGTCACTGAGCAGGCAGCCCTCTTTGTTGTGCAGGAAAGTGCTGTTGATGAGCTTGCTGTTGACCAACCTATATTTGAAGAGATCTGAGGGGAAAGAAGGTGGAGGGGACAGAAACGGAGCAGAGTAGGGGGACGAAAAGGTTAATGTGTTGATAGGATGGGAGGACAAAGATACCCGTGATTAATCTTCTATTTATGTAGGACATTTTAAATCCCTACAGGTCAAAGGTTTAAATGTGAAACACCTGCAGGAAGTAAAGTTAGTCCCATTTATGTCGAAAGTCTAATAGGCACTATAATAAAGAAATATGCCATAACATTTGTTTTGATTTGTTTAAAGTCTTGACATTTTGAATAGCAGGTATCTAAAAGAACACCTTTGCCATTTTGAGATCACATGAGAAATCACACTTTTATCAAGGTCATAGTTATTCTTTTCAGCGTAAGGATACCTATCTTTAATATTCACCTGCTGTGAGTTCCTATGTAATAAATACTTGATTGTACATGTCCTTATCCTTGAAGTTTCCAGGCACGAGGGACTACTGTTTTTTTACTAATTTATAATGGAAGATGAGGAAAAATAGGAGGCCCATATACCCAGAGACTAAATAATGTATAATAACTAACTGATTTTGAAAATGTATTTAGATTTGTGTTTAAATAAGCCAAGAGAACACTTTCCCTCAAGTGAATTTCAGGAACAAATATGTTTAAAACCTTTTTACATCATGATCACAATAGCGTGAATACCAGTGGATCAAAAATAACGGGAAAGGAAAAGAAGAGAGATATATTATCTTAACAAACTTTTATTTAAAACTGTTTTTTTTGCACAATTTTCCTTTTCTGTAAAGAGAAAATAAGTGACGGAAATGTTGTGCTGTTATTTCATTACAATTGCAAGGTTGTGTGCCATAAATAAACTCTGAAAAAGGAAATGTTTACAAATGTAAATATATTGTTTAAAGTGAGTGATGAAATAACTGCTACATGAAATAACTTATTGGTTATTATTATTTTTTACATGATTCAATATGCGGGACAAAACTGAAGAACCCAGAAAAAACCCTCACTACATGCCACCATCATTTGCGGAAATACATTATGTAATGTCTATCAGGAAATAATGACTACTACTAATTGTTCAGCACATAGTGGCATTTAAAACAGTGGCAGGCCTGAAAGAAGTTTCTATTCAAACCATGGATATAAAGCTTCCATTTCTACTTGGACCCTGTCTAACAAAGCTTCAATAATTTATTGTGCTCTGGAAAAAACGGCTGCAATTCTTGAACAGGCTCTGTAAAACACCCTTACCACTTTTCTCCCGGGCCTAGAACCAGCGGCCTGAAGATACAGGATGAGGTTACGAGAAGCTACGCTGACCCAATGACCCATAGCTTCAGGCAGATCTTGCATCATCTGTAGGATATATTCCCTGAAATCTCTATCTTCGATGTCTCGTGTGTTGTCGAGAAAATAATCTGAAACTCTGGTTCTGATTGTGGAAAAAACTGCAGCAATTGTTGCTCTAGTCCCGGAGATAGCCGATGCAATTTTAGCTCGAACCGTGATTGATAGAGATGCAATCCTAGCTTTGGTTATGTTGGGAGAAGTTGACATTTTGGAATTCTTGCTTGTGCCATTGATAAAAAAAGGGGCAATTCTTGCTTGTGCCATGGACAGAAAAGGGGCAATTCTTGCTTGTGCCATGGACAGAAAAGGGGCAATTCTTGCTTGTGCCATTGACAGAAATGATGAAAATCTTGCTTGAACCATTGACAAAAAAGGGGCAATTCTTGTGTTCTTCTGCCATGGACGAAAAATATCCAATTCTTTCTTGGGCTATGTTGAAATGAGTTGACAACACTGCTCTAGCCTGAACAAGAACAGGTGCAGTTTCTTCAGTGATCATGGAAGAGAAATCCACAATTGTTGTTTGCGCCATGGAAAAAGAACTATAGCAATTCCTGCTTGCGCCCTGGAGGAAAACTCAACAAGTCTTGCCTGGGTGAAAATGACAACATTAGCAGCTCTTGTTTGTGCCAGGGACACAACAGCAACTTTGGTGATAAGATAAGCAGCTGCAACTCTGGCTTTGGCTAAAGAAAGTACTGTTTCCATTTCTTTTGACTCTCTGCTAACAGGCTGTGATGGCTCTGGGTCAAGAGCTTCAATAATGTCCCTGTCGGTTTCATTTCTTGAGGAAGAATCGCACAGAGAAAGAGACAAGAAGAGAGCAATACGAGGAAGCTTAAGCCCCTCACTCTCTGTTTGCTGTAGTTTCTCTTGATGAGTTTCCTTTCTTAAACAGTCCAGACCAGTAGGCTGGCTGGCAGCATCCTGAAACCTCAACCTGAGATTTCTGTAGCTTCTGATCCCAAAGTCTGTTTGGGCTAGTGGTTTCAAATATTTGTCTATCGGTGATTCATGGATCACAGGCTCTGCTGGGTGTACAGTGATAGGTGAACTGGGGAAATAAAGTCCCAGACCAGACCTGATCAGACTACCAGCAGCTTTGGTGGCCCAAGGAACCACAACTAAGCCCACATGTAAGACCGGCATTTTGGTGGATGAAGGCAGTTAAATGGAGTTGAGTTGAGTCTTGTAAAATGTAACAAGTGTCTTCTCTATACTCCGCACAGAAAATGGAAGAGAAGTCAATCCACGTCTGTCCTGTCAGTAACAGTAACTGGTACTGAGATAAGGTCTAAACATTAGACTCTAAGACTTGGTGCAGCCACAACAAAGGCAAGCTGCGTCATAGAATACGACGTTGGTGGGCGTGACGTCATAAGCGTTCCAAGATCACGTGGTATCGTCGATTACTTCATAGATTTCACATTACGTAATTTGCGTCAGGTTGCATTTTTTTTGTACAGATATGTAGCGATGTGTTCAAAATCAAGCGGTCAAATGTAATGACATAACATAGTATTAGCTTGAAAACATGTATGAATAACCATACAGTATATCACCATAGTTTACCAAACTTTTTTTATCAGTTTTTTTAACAGTTGTATCCGCAATACTTCGAAGTTGTTTTGGGTTTTTCTTATACAAACGCCTCCCGCCAATGATCAGCACCATGGACAGAGCGCCAGGAGATTGAATTGAATGTTTCCAGTTTCACCTAAACCGCACGGTACATACAGCGAAGACAATCTACAAATGTGTTTGTAATACATTAGATAACACAAGTGTGTGAGTGCAAGTAACCTATTTGATGCACATACGTTTTAAACTTACTCGTTTTCGATCTCACCTCTAACGTTGGATTTTGAAATGCGTTTTGGTGAAACTGTGAACATACTAAATAGTGTTTCCGTTTAAATTCCGCCCGGATTGTCTCCCTTTCAGTCCCATTTATCAGACCTTTTTCAGAGTAAACTTTACGCACCGAAGCGGCCCCCTTTTATGCGAGTGGCTTCATTTGTGCAGGCTACGTAAATATCGAGGTAAACATAAATTACTAGGGGTGTAACGGTACACGTACCGAATAATTTCGGTACGGGCCCTTCGGTTCGGTACACGTGTGTACCGAAGTGTACCGAACGAATATAACGTTAAACGTAAACAATTGAGAACGTGAACAACTTTTTGGAAGTAATCTCAGGTGCTGCGTCGCAGCATTCAGAGTAATTTGCTCACATTGGGCTCAACGCGTCATAGAGCGACCAAGTCATTTAATTGGACGAGAGGCATACTAGAGAGCTGGTCACAGGGATGCGTTCAAATTTAGTCAGTAATTTGAGAAACTGGCGAAATGGCGAACGCAGATAAAGTTGAGCTCGAAAATCCTCCAGCATCATTGAAGTCTCCGGTTTGGGAACATTTTGGTTTCGCAGTTACGTACAAGGATGACGGACAAAGACAGGTGGACCGAACCAAAGCTGTTTGTCGGCATTGTTCAACTAAAATTGGTTACGCGGCTGGCAATACATGATGTATTGCCAGCCGCAAGTTTGATGTATTATACATCAAACTTGCACACTCTTGAAAAGGCATCCCCCGAACGTGAATATCACGGTACCAAAAGAAAAAATACTGAAATGCAAACCCAACTCCCACTAGCATTTAAGCCTCCATCACTCGCAACAAGTTCAGACCGAGCCAGAGCTATTACAAACGCCAAATATCCTTAGCAAAGCGCTACCTGGCTGTATCTGCTACCTCTGTCCCTAGCGATAGGGTGTTATCCACAGGAGGAGACATTGTTAGTGCCAGCAGATCTGCCCTTTCGGCAAGCAATCTTTCAAGTTCATCTTTCTTTAAAAAAACATGAAAATACAATGACAAGCCTAATGTCAAGCTGGCTGCGTAGGTACTAGTACAGTACAGTTCAAATACAGATGATTTCAGTTCATCGAAATGCTGCACCTTAATGTTTATTTTATTATATTTTGTATTTATTTGAGTGAATACATTATTCACAGTTTAATAATAATTAAAAAAATATATATATATTTTATGTTTTGTGATAATTTGTTCTGCTGTACCGAAAATGTACCGAACCGAACCGTGACCTAAAAACCGAGGTACGCACCGGACCGAAATGTTTGTGAACCGTTACACCCCTATACATTACAATCCTCCACTTCGCGATCTAATAAACCAAGTTGTTTAAAACACAGCAAGCAATGTAATAATTATTATTCCTGTGGATTGAGTGTTCATTTCGTGCAATTCCTGAATTTCTTGTGACAATAAAATGTTCCGCAAAACAATTTCCTGTTTCATGATTATTTGCTTTAAGACACTCTCACAGTAGGCTATGCTAAATGTAATGAGTTTTTTGTTTTTTTAACAATGGCACAATAACATGACTATGGCTTTAAAATGAAAATAAAAACACATCTCTAAATGTACCATTCTATGCAACCAAATGTGTTTGTCAAATGTATTGTAAAAACATAAAGACAAGGGAACATCACAAACAAATCAGAGAGATGTTTAATGCAAAGAAGTAGATGGACTAAGAGAAACTGAAAATGGTCCAGCTTTATTTGGAACAATGTATATGCTCACTGCTTTTGACAAGAGAGGTTTATCCTCTGAGCTCTAAACTGAGCTTAAGCTTC